TCACATGTCTCCAAACAGGCTTCAGCATGGGCATCTTCACAGTGAATTGCTACATTAGGATGAATCTCTTCTTACTAATTACGGACATCCTAGGAAAGTAAGGGGAGAGTGCTTCAAAGGCTGTAACTGCTGTATCTGCTGTCTCGTTTTGAGAAAGCACTATTGAAAAACTTGCAGAAATGCCTGTTCCTGCAATACGGTGCTTTTTTATGAATCAAAAAGGTATAAGTGATTTGATAAGCATCAAATAAACATCAGAACAACCCCTAAACCAACCCTATTTCAGTAAATATGATTCATTCTTATTTCCTTTGCACCTCACCTTCCTACCACACCCAGTGCACACACAGAGCTCTGTCCCGAGTAGAATGATGTCAAAGTGCAAAACAATCACTGAGAGAAAAAAGGTAATTTCATTGCTTTCAGTGAGATATGGCACATTTAACTTAAATTATACACAAATGAAAGCTGTATGTCACAGAAGAGAAGGTGGCACACAGCCCTTCAGAGAAGAATATTATCCTCCCTAAAACCTTGACCATCTGCCTGTCAATTTAAATCAATTATTCGGCATATTTTTTTCCAAATCACATAGACTTTAGAAGTGTGAGGCCTTATCCAAACTGAGTCAAAATCAATGGAAGATTTATTTCGCTGGGTTTTGGATCAGAGCATTGTGTGAAGATACAGACAGCTTTGACACTTTGCCCGTGTTAGTGTTGTTAAAACCTCCTCAAAATTATAAAGTATATATGACTTTACTGGGAAAGGATCCCACACCTACTTTGCACCTGTGGGGACCGGTTCCCTGTACCCCAGATCTGGAGCAAAATCTAAACAGTATAATTTCCCACAGACGCTCTTTGCACCCAAGAGGACTATCAGAGGTACAAGCCATAGGACAGCTGTATCCTATCTTTGACGATCTGAGAGAAAAAGTATTCCAGTTTGTTTTCTTCACAGAGCTTTTCCCTCTTTCAAAAGTCAAAGTGCATTTACTAAACTGCCTCTTCAGAATGAAGCAGTATTAAAGCTGAAAGTTTGGTGTTTTGTTTGTTTGTTTTCCAGTTGAGGCTTTTAAGATGCAACATTTTAGTATTGTCGTAACATCCACAATAAATTACAGACAGTCCTGAAAAATCTTCAAACTGCAAGACATGTCAAGCACAGAGAGATGCCTGCTCTGCTCTTGCAGGTCACCTCTTGGATCAACTCTTGTGATGCGAGACTTGTTTTATCTCAGTTATCCTTTTATCTTCCATTTCTTTGCTGAGCAACTTTTCACTGCAGTTTTATGCAGCCAATATTTGTACTAGAAAAAAAAAATCATAATTCCAAAGTAATATTTCCATGACCTTTTGTCTTTACTTTTAAGCCCAGTTGGTACATAAACACCAGCCTACACATTATCTCAGAAATAACAGGACTCAGAAAATCATCTTTTACACAGAAGAATATAAAATGACACTATTGGTTAAAAGATAAGGCATATTGAAAGGATTTTTTATGTGCCATTTTAATGTGATAATTATTTCCTAAAAGTCTGAGTTTCAGTGTTCATATAAATAAGTGGATGCTAATAGGCCATCCATAAAGACTCCCCTTGTTAAAATACAGATGAGATATCCCTTATGGTTATACATGTGTAAGTACAATTAATATTGCAACCCAACTGGAAACAAAATTGCTTTAGTTAACCAACCATTGCAAGGCAATCAAATGTGGTATCAAATGTAATTGTAGAAGATCCATTTGGGGAATAACAGCAATTATTTCATACAGAATTCTCCCTTCCTTCTTCCAATTCACGTACAATTTGTTTCATGCATCTCTATGCCAGAAAAATAATTGGACCATCACAAGTGTCAAAACCATCCCCCTTCCACTCTGCAGCATACAAGAAAATTCAAACTGACAAGGCTGTTTCATTTAGAAATATTGGTTTGTATCTCTGATTTGTAACTGCATTAATTAAGCAGGTTTTATTTCTCCAGCTGTATATGCAGCCAGGGAATTGGGCAGTACCGATGGAGTAAGCAGAGAATGGCATTTATTTGCCTGAAGCTAAGCGCTTTGGATTTGCCTTCATAAACTTCACAAATACACACTAAAGACTTAATAGTTTTCTAACAGGTAAGTATTATTTTAGGGCTGTAGATGTAAACTGCAGTTCAGATATTTTAATTGTGCTTAATCAGGTAACAACACGTTACAATCCAATATTAATGATTTTTTTTTCCTTTTTACTCAGAAGACATTCAGTATTCTTAATTATTATTCTTAGTTAATAATCCTTTGAATGATTTTGCACTTTTTAGTAAATTAATTAGCAATTGCCAAAATTATTTTAATATTTAATTATGAATGCAAAATACCAAAATCCATTATGATCTTTATTTCTGTCACTTAGCTAAAAACTAATGGTAAATATGTAAGATACATGCTCTTAACTCATTTTAGATTTTTATTTTTGCTCTTGAGACATTCCATATACACCTGACAAACATTCATTTATTAATAAAAAGAGTATATATAGCCCCCAGTGTCAATCTCTGTATTTAGAAAGCTAATTCTCTCCTTTAGACAACTCTGACAGTCTTTACATGAAATTATTAGCTGAAATAACAAAAATGAAGCTGTGGGACCAAATCTGGATCTTCAAAGATTCCTCCCTGTACTACCTAATTTCAAAAGACCATATCTGAGGGTGCTGAATTTTTATTATATTGACATTTACCTGCAAATAAAATCTTTTAAAATCTTTAATGCTCACACACTTCTTTTGCTGCAAACTGTGCAATAAACATTCATATTTTGAATAAGGTGTTAGAACAGGCACTCTGGCAGTCTTTTGATTGACACATCCCTTGTAGCTCTGTATAGACCTTGGTATTATGGCCAGCCCTCTTTGCCCTTCCTCTTTTGGATTTGTTCCACTGAAGTCAGCCCTTATATACTTCCCCAGAAGGAATGTTTGTGATATTTTCTCCTTAAAACTTCATAGGCTATTATTCGGCTGCAATCTGACTGTCAAGGACATTGCTGATCCTGAGCTCATTAGAAGCAGAAATAGATTGTCCCAAAGAGTTTCTTTCTACAGTGACTCATGTGCAATGCTGCTGGAAGGGCTTTCATCACCCAAAACCAAATCCTGGACGAGAAATAAACCTCATACAGCATGATGTAGGCCATTCATAATGCTATCAGAAGTACTTTAAGAACCCTCATCTGCAGAAAGTTTTACAGTATATCTTCTATTTTCCATCACAGCCATTAGGAGAATGAATCTTCCAGTGAAAATTAAGTTTATCAGAAAGATCTGTGTGCAAACTAATTTGAGCAGGCATTTTCTAAAAAGTAGGCCAGAAGAGAAGAAAGATTACTTCTGGCCAAAATGGAACAAATTAAATTATAAGAGGCTTAATACATTTATTTGAAATTTAATTGCATAACCTAATGTCAAGGTTATTATATGGTGCACGCTGTTCTCATCCAAATTCAAAACAGTAAAGCACAATCTCGGTTTGCAGTTACTTAATATAAATCCAACTGGTTTTTTTTTTATTTTATTTTATTCTGACCATAGTCTTTGCCTGAGCCACAACATTAATATAAAATCACATTTCAAAATTACTTTGAGATCTCTCCTTGGCAATGAATTCTGATAAGACCAGACGCCTCTCTGGTATGACTGACTTCTACTGCAAGCAAAGGGCAAAAAGAAAACCAAAAGCTGAGACAGTGTTGTTGATGTGATGCCAGTGTGTACAGTAAGAAGCGAAATTGTTAGAAAGAGCATCTGACTGTATTCACACTGTTCTGCACTGAGTCCATCAAACCTGCAGGATTTGTTTTCTATTCAAAACAGAGACAGATTAGCAGAAAAGGTCACTGTAGAATTCTCATTATTGCATCCCTATGGAATATGCATTCTGTGTTTTACCGTGTATTGGAAGCTGTGCCTGTGCAGAAAGCACACTTAAAAGCATTCAGGCTGTGTCCAGACCCTCTTTGTACTCCTCAAAGCTAGTCACTCTTATCTGAATTATTTGGCCTGACCTTAGAGGGTTTTTTTCTCTGTTTGTTTTCAGATCTCCAAGTGTCTGAGGAACACTGGATCAGAAAGTACATTATAGAAAACCATTGTGCATTTAACTATGTGCCACTATGATTCTAGTGGATGTACAAACACAGTCTAGGTTTGTAGCAGCATCACGTAAAAGCACCATCTGCTTTTATTTCTGAAGGAACAGGTAATGAAGGCATAATAAATGACTTTGACACTTAACAGGGAACTGTAGCCTAAAATTAACAGGCTTATAATCATGCAGCACAATATTAATTTGGCTTGTTCGGTAATAAAGAATTAATGTTGTATATTTTATTATCATCTCACTTGTTTTTCAATAAAGTCTGAAATGATTGAAGAAGATAGTTTAGTGTTTGACGGGGTTAAGGCCTCTTTCAGTACTGCTAGAATACTGAAGAGAAGAGACGCAGTTATTAAAGTATGGAAAAGGATTCTAAAATAATAGTCTATGACTCCCAATATAGACAGTCATGTAGATAACCAAATCCTTCTGTATTAAGCTTTTTCCTGCTTTTTTCCACCACATAAGCAAAAGACAAGTTGTAAAAATCTTTTCTATGATTCTGTGTTTCAGTGCTTGGAGTAGCACACTTTTAATTGGTAGTAACCATCACTTAGATACCTTCTCTGTAATCATTCCTTGTATGTCAAAACAAACAGATGTGTTGTGTACACCTCAGAACTACATCCCTAGGTCTGCAAAGCTCCCTATGAGCTTCTGAAGTGAAAAGTCCACTTTATTCTCTAGACACCCAGACTGAGACTCTGTTTACTGAATAAAATAAGATGCCCATTCATAGTCAATGACTCCTTCTGTGGTGGATACATAAACAACATGTTTGTAAGAATATAGTTAACATTTCAAAGAGGAAAAATCCGAGAGGTTAAAAGGAGAAAAACTGAAACTTACCCCAAACTCATCCCTCCACTGATGTGACGCTTGGTACTTCTCTGCTTCTTTAGCAAGGCGCTGAAGACCAAAGAGAGAGAGGACATGCATTTTAGTCTTTACTGTCAAATAGCAAAATCTTTTTTATGTTCTTCATATACATGTTTTCTCTATATAATTTTCTATATATCTATGCTTTTTTGCACTTACTGGAAAATTATGTATATTTGAGTAAAGATGCGCCATCTCATTTCAAAAATGCTGTTTTCTGTATTATTTGCTTACTTAAGTACTGTAATCATGCATTAGAAAACTTAACCCTCATTCCAATGTCATTTAAGAAGTTCTAGTTAAGTTCAAAATCCATCAACATCCTTCTGAAAATACTTTCTCCTTACACACACCACCTTGCCTTATATGTATTAATTTAATCTACCATCCAATGACAAGTATTTATTAGAATGTTAAAACACTGTATTATGGACATTTATTTCTCCATTAAATTATTTAGCTTCAATTATAAGAAGTACTGACATCCCCCGTGATTATTAGGGACCCATAAAAACTCGGTAATTTGGACTAGCTGTAGGCTGGTCCCATGGACTGAATACACATTAGCAGTTGGAGAGTAACAGGCATGCTCCTAGAGGGCATTTTTCCCGTTTAAATTAATTTGAAAGAAATCCAGTTTGTCCACTTAGCCCCACGGGAAGCAAAGCGCAGCCCTCAGGAATGATCAGATGATCCTCTTGCACATCAGTCTCTTGTACAGACACATCCATTGGGTTGGTGACATGTTCCTCCTCATACAAAATTATAAGTCCTTAAAATAAAGCTGTTTGTACACGCTTATGAGGAGTTTACTACAATGAAAGTTGCTGAGCGTAATGCGTGTTCTCCAGCTGAGCTGCACACAGCAGCCCCAGTGCCGGCAGCCCTGGAGGCAAGCACCCATCCTGAAAGCAAGCAAGCGCGCTCTGAAGAAGCAGCTACCTGATGTGAATGTAGTTCATGTGGACTCAGCCATGTCCTAATTGTTGAGTAACTTACTTTGAGAACTAAATTATTGTATAACCCAATAAAAATTTTAGCAGCTGTTTCTGGGGAGTCATGGTCCCTTTCTAACAGAAACAGCCTGGCTATAGCCACCAGATAACTAGGGATGAAAATGCTTTACTGTGTAACAATATGTGCACGGTAAGCCTGATGATCGTTTTAATATTCAGACCAATTCTTACACAAAATGAACTGGTGGTCTAAGTCACATTTTCAGTTGAGTCAACTGTCAGTTCTTGCTAACAACCAAAAGGAATATGACCAGAAAGTTCACGTAAGCTGGAATCACAGAGATGGTGCTGTCAGGATCTCACCTCAGCCACAGCCCGGGATAGCTAGATAACCACTATGTTATCTGATCCCATGCGGGCAGGCCCTCTCCCCCCTCTAACAACTATCAGGATGATAAATTTCACAAAGCAAAACTTAGGATCCTTTCCTTTCTTTTACATTTGCAATCATCCTATATAAACAAAAAACCCCAATAAACCTGTGTGCTCTGCTGCCAGAAAATGTGTCCACACTCATTCGTTTTATTGTCAATTCAAACGATTCTTAGCTAAAAGAAAGCTACTAGCATCTTACAGGCATTGCCAATCGGAGGTGCCCTCCAGAGTGGCCAAGTACCACATTAACAAAGGAAAACCTATGATATAATTTGATGCATTACACTGGGAAAAAGCACAGTACAACTCTCCCTTGACCACACTGGACAAACACCTCAGATACCTGCAGTATTTTCAGTTTTCTGGTAATATACTAGAACAATTTTGTCCATCTAATTTCTTCACTCACTATTGCCAGTTCTGCATCTAAATTTGGCCTATCCTCTGATGAGTTCACGCTGATTAAGTCATGTTTCACCAGATTGTAGCAAAGCAAGATACGACACTTACTGCACATGTAAATAGCTGCAGTTAACACTGCCCTCGGATTTCCCTCACAGTCTGCTTCGTTACCTTAAGGTACCCAGTGAACTGCATTTGTTTCCTACAACAGACAATAGAATCCAAATGCACAAGCTGAAAAATGGATTATGAAGAGAAATATATAATAACCATTAACATTACTACGAATTTCGCATGGAAAGAACTGCAGCCACACTAGAAATTCCTCAGCTTCATGAAAAGTTGGTAGATTCTTCAGCCAATCTGTACTGTAAAGTAAAAATGCTAAAAGCAAATTGAAAAAATAAAATGATGCATTACACTGGGAAAAAGCACAGTACAACTCTCCCTTGACCACACTGGACAAACACCTCAGATACCTGCAGTATTTTCAGTTTTCTGGTAATATACTAGAACAATTTTGTCCATCTAATTTCTTCACTCACTATTGCCAGTTCTGCATCTAAATTTGGCCTATCCTCTGATGAGTTCACGCTGATTAAGTCATGTTTCACCAGATTGTAGCAAAGCAAGATACGACACTTACTGCACATGTAAATAGCTGCAGTTAACACTGCCCTCGGATTTCCCTCACAGTCTGCTTCGTTACCTTAAGGTACCCAGTGAACTGCATTTGTTTCCTACAACAGACAGTAGAATCCAAATGCACAAGCTGAAAAATGGATTATGAAGAGAAATATATAATAACCATTAACATTACTACGAATTTCGCATGGAAAGAACTGCAGCCACACTTGAAATTCCTCAGCTTCATGAAAAGTTGGTAGATTCTTCAGCCAATCTGTACTGTAAAGTAAAAATGCTAAAAGCAAATTAAAAAAATAAAAGGTTTTGTTTGGTTGTTTGTTTTTTTTTTTCGGGGGGGTGGGGGTGGTCTCAAATGGAGGAAAAAAGAATATTCCCCACCAAATTCTTCTCCTTGAAGAATTTTTCAGTCAGGTTTAAGTTAGAACCCATCCTAACTGTCTAAATAACCTGCTAAATAACACTACGCACAATTTCAACAGCTCTTTATAACTTAAAATAGCTTCCAAAATGAGAAGTTGTCATTTGAGGTATGTGTACAGAGCATAAGGTTAAAGTTTGTTAAAGGTAGTCAAGCTCATATGAAGGCACAAGCAACCAGTTACAATGATGAACAATGAGAAAACGGCTGTGTTCCTTAACTCAACCAAACCACATCCCACACATGACCACGAGCCAGGCCTCTGATTACCCAGCTCATCTCCAGCAGAAGACTTCATCAATGTTTATGTGCAGGCTATCATAAGGACACAGATCATGCAAGGACTTAATTTTCAAGAAGGTGATGTTTTTTCAAAAGATAGGGGTTGACTGATAGGAAGTCTGTGCAGGCGAAAACCAGAATCATTCTCTCCTGTGTAATACCTTTGATATTTTTAGGAAAGATAAGGGAAGAGTATTCAAAATAAATTACAAAAAAAAAAAGAGTATTTTATGAAGCTAAGGTGTTCTGAGAAGTTCCTCATTTCTATGCAAGGAGAAATGCTACTGCTACAGCAACATGGACTCTAATGACTGAGACATTCACCCTTCCACCGAGAGTGCTTTGTTAAGAGCAAGAGTAAGAAGTCAAGACTCTTGGGTCAAAAATAAGCTAGACTGTGAAGCAAACTCAAGTTACCTATGCCCTTTATTGTGACACAAGGAGAGACTAATTTTTCATCTCTCTCAAAGAAATTGTGCCTGCTTCCTTTTGAGGTATGCAAATGTCAGGTCTTGCCTTCCCTGTTTTGATGGAGGAGTCTCTGGAGAACGCCAACAGAGGAGTAACACAACAGCAGGCTGACACCTGACACTTCCCATTTTCCCTCTCATTACAATAAGAGTTTAATAAGGTAACACCTTCTTTAACACCATGACCCACTGCAGTTCCCCACAGGTTTCTCTAGCAAATACTAAAATGTTGAGATTCATATTTTTATATGTAAGAAAATAATCAGAAATGGTTCTAAAACAAACATGCAAAACAATATTTCTGCATATTAGGTTTTAATAATTTCTTACTCCATGCCTCTGTATGCATGCTGTGAATACGAAAGTTGTGAGATGTTTTCAGGCCTTGAATGAAGCTCTATTTAACATCATCTTTTTAGATAGGATGAAAAACCAAACACCACTAAAAAGGGGAAAAGGAACAAAACTGACATGTAACAGAAACATTCTGGCTTACTTCAAGGTATTTAAAAAAACCCTACTTTGTACAGTCTGCTGGAGAACAAGGATTCTCAGATTATGAAAATGATACTCAAATTACTTGGAAGTAGTACATAAATTGAGAAACCATGATCAGGAAGAGAGGGCTGCAAAAGCTAACAAAATGCTGTAGCATCTACTCCTATGTTTTTGGAGGGTGCCCAACAGCTGTGACATGGTGCTTCTAAGTAAGAAAGAGACCAAAAGGGCTGATGCTAGATTTAGCCAGTGTGATTGACACAGTAGTTGATGTCAAATTTAAGGTGCTTGAAAACACTGTGATTAAACAAGCATTTGTTCAATAAATGTTCCTAGATGAAACAATTATTTCTACCTCCTATTTTTTATTATTTTATCTTATTTTAATGAATGAGAACTGCTCTCTCCCTTGCTATTTTCTAAATTGAGCAAGAATTTTCAGAATACTTAGCTCATCAATAAAAGAACAATTATCCCTTGAAAGGCAGCCACCGCCCACAAATAAGTATTTTTAATCAAACTTTGAAAGAAGTCAAGAGCTACCTTCCACTAGATTTCCTTAAATCTTTTGAAGAGAATGGTTACCCTTAAAGCAAAGCAGCTATTGGGAAACATAGATAAGATGCAAGTGTTATTTACTCCATCAGCTGATGAACTTTTCTTTAACTTTTAAAGGGATTACAAAAGATTACACACGCACACAAAAAAAAAAAGCAAACCAACAACTACAAACCCAAAGCCCAGCTGCCTGTCAATCTCAAAACTGTCTATTTTCGAAGGTCTTGTCCCCAGATTCCAAGTGCACTTTACTATCTCTGAAAGACAGCCTTTGATGTAGCACAGACTGCAAGAAAGAGACCTGAGGAATCCCTATCTGATCTGTAAAGATCAACTCCCTAGAAGGCCTATTCATCTTCCAGC